ATTTTCTATTAAGGAGAAAATCACAAAAAATAAAATTTCTTAATCTTTTTATTTGCTGCCTACTTTAATTTTCAACGGCAGTGTATCATGTGAAATACAACTAAGAGGATGCTGAGATACTTGCAAAACTCCGAACCGCAGGTGTCTGCGGTGGGGAACGGACGCGCTATTGTCCTTTCCGGGGAGTAATGCGTTCACCATCATGCTGATGGCTAAAGATCGATAGAACTAGCTGAGAGACAGGCGAAACGAAGGACCCGGAAGTTACTGTGCATTGCAAATATGCGTTCAATCAAATCTACGATGCTACGAAAAGAATGCATAGGGCATCCGTTTGAGACTGATCAGCGTCAAGCGACTAATCCTTTTTAAATCTTGATTTAGAATTGTGGTGAATCGAAGTGTTTAAACATTTCCTTCAAGTGCTTTTTAATTCGACTCCTCAGAGAATCATATTTGCTATTCAATATTTTCGTTGAATCAATAACAGAAATGTGGTACGGGTTATTTCCATATTTTAGTTCTTCAATAGCGACTTAGAAGGAGGTTGCACGGAGAAGGGAGTGGGGGCGTGGTGGTAGAGTAGCACAACGATCCACCACCATTGGGTCGGTTAGGTGAGTAAGGAGGTGTCTACGATGCTCCTCGGTCACTTCTTCGAGCTAGAGAGCAATTTGTTTCTGACTATTAACCCCTGACGTATGTTTAGAGTTCCTTTTTCACAAAAAAACTGCTCAAGAAGCAACGGTGTAACTCACTATCGCGATAGAATCGCTTTACAGTAGATTCGCAGTTAATTAAAGTTTTCTTCGGATGTGTAAGAAAATAAATGTTAATTTTAATGAGCCTCCAAAATGGCACCCAACTAAGATGTCCAATTTTTGTGTGATGCTTTCTGTTTTCCTTTATCTGTTTCATTCCTAATGGTTTCTCCACATAAATTAAGATAATGTTTGGTTTTTATTTTCTGCCTTCTATAAATTTTATGACAGGGTATTAAGCGAAATACAACCACAAGATTGTTGAGATATTTGTAAAACTCCGCTACGTAGGTGTCTGCAATGGGGAACGAACGCTCTACTTTCCTTTCCGGGGAATAACGTGTTCACCACTATACCATGCGGGTCTTTCGTTTCGCCTGTCTCTCAGCTAGTTCTATTAATAAATTAAGATATTCTGTTGCAAGCGAGTTAGGTGGTGGGCGCATAAGTCTATGGTTTGCTTTATAATGTATCATAGTATTTTTAGCGTTTTACTCTTATTTAGAGTCGTAGTTCCAGTTTTATCCTCACAGTAAGAAAATATATCCACTATAAGGCACGCGCACCTTAACATCGATCTTTGTTCATTTCTTATCTTCATCCACTTTTTATCCGTTGTATTTTTTCTCGGTGCCCGGTAAAATTGTTTTTGTTCGCAGAGCTTGAGTCAGAAAGTTGGTGTTCATTTAATTCTATTTGAAGTCCAATAATCCATCAACACTCTTCGACGAAGCGCCTGCGATTTGCTGAGCGGTCCTTTTATCATCCTTCTTGACATAGCGTTCCATAAAAAAACCAGTTTTTCCAGAAATTTTTGGAGCAGTAAAATGTCGGTCAGTTTTTCATATGCTCTGCATTAAGCGATAAAAGTTCTATTGTTATTAGTTAATGTTAAGTGAAGGAACTTTATAGTTTCTAAAGGATTAATGTCGTATTCGCCGTCAATGAAACCTTCCTAAGCTCCTAAGCCTAACTCAACAATGCCCATCGATATCTTTCGTCTTCTTCGCTTGTGGTGTCTGCTTGTGATTAAATCAACAATTTCGTTTTTATGTTTGCACAATTTTTTAGAAATGAAAAGAAAACTGTGGATTTTAATGTTATATTTTTCTCTAATACGGTGTGATGATCCTCCTAATATTTATCGTTGGATGGACGATAACTCCTATATATGTAAGTGTTCTAATCCAGTAAATCCTGTATTCTTAAGTGTTACGAGCTCTATTTCAACGAGTTCACAAGGCCACTTTGTTAAAATCTAAAACAAAGAAGCTTTAAACTTACGAAGGGTCATAAGAAACCACGTTAATGAGCAGCTTTCTCAATCAAATGGTGTGTGCGTGCTTGGAGAGTATTTTCGCATTTTGCGGACTGTAACACGAATCAATTTAGCAAGCTACCGCAGCATAAAAAGCATTTCATTGATTTACACAAATCATATTAGCTTATGTGTATAACAGATATCGATTGTTCTACTACAGCTATCGATTTTTATTTTAAAAAGGGAACTAAATTGAAGGAGGGATTTCTTCGTAGAGAACACTCATTATTAAAGTTTCTTCTACTAGTTCCTTTTCACACACAACGTATCGTTTCATTTACAGTTTTTCGTTTACAATTCTGGAATAACACCACGTTGTTTCAAGGACGAATAAGATCGAAAATCTGAATTGAGGTTGAGCCGCAATCATTCCTCTCATCCCCTTAGAAATCAAATTATCGCTGAATTCTTTTGATTGAATAAACCACTGATATCTGAATGTAGAAAACTAAAAAAAACCTTAAACATAATTCTGTCAATATTTTACCACGCAAGAATTTCTAAATTTGTTTAGGTGGACCAATTAGAAACCTCGATGGGTCGATGTTATCATTTCTTAATGAGGAAGAAGGACTCGAGTGCACAGCTTGTGATAGTGTACGCTTCTTTGTCAAATTTCAATAATACGTCTTCTTATCACCATTTAATTTCATTCCTATCTTAAAACTGTGCTTTACTTACTTTTGACAAGTTAATTGGTCTTGTAATCTGTGATGCAAGGAATCCTGCAAACATGAAATATTCCTGTCAAAAGCCTTTCACATTCACTTTTTTTTCGAAAGGTTGTGCAAGTGCTTTGTGCTGGACTTCGCTGTAGAGGCCGAAAACAGATAGCTTACAGACCCCTTTTGAAGTATATGTGCTACTTTTTTGTTGGTAACCAGGCCGAACTACACCCATTTGTTTTGCTAAAGTAGCATAGACAAGTAATGCATCCTCCAATTTTATGTCTCACGGCAAGTACCCGTTCGCTTCTAGTCTCGGTTCTATAACATTTTCCACCTCTAAAACTGCCACCTGAAAGCGCACCAAGTAGCCACTTGTCTAACCGGCTTAGGATCTTCCACGTGACAGACAACTGTGCGAGTCCTATTATACTTACACTCTAAACTAACTTAATTCAATTAGAAGTGAGCAATAAGCCGTTCAGCATTAATCAATATCTCAGGAATGAGCGTTGCTTTTGACTCCATTAAGCATCGATGAAGTAACTGAACGCATGTTTAGCGTAAACACCAACTTGCCAAACCTCAATTGATGCAACATGTTAGCGTTTTTATTCTCTCATACGATTCTGGCACAGATTTTTCAATCGTGGAAAAAATGAAGGACTCTTATTGTCAGAGGCTCAGGATAGACCTTAAAACTCCTTCTGTATTGAAAGGCCGCCCCACAGTTGCAATACATGCACGCTATGCTACCATGTAGGCTTGCCAAAAATGCCTCGATATCGAAGAACATCATTTAATCCTACTTATAACCGCTGAAGTAGAAAAACCGATGACGAGCTCTTTTTGTCCATCTATTGATACGGTCTATTAACTATGCTATTGAAATCAAAGTTCATTATCTTAGCGATTATCTATTGTTCTGCTCATGTTGTTGGTTCAATTTGCTAGCTTCTGCTAATATTTTCTAGTATCTTTTCATACAGAAATTGGAAGGCTTTCCAAACAAGGCATGTGGAATTCGAATTAGTCGGAACGAAATGCATCCTCGGGTTGAGTGCTATTCAAGTTAGTGCAATTACTACCATTATCACTTCTTCATCCAATCTCTTGCTTTCGAACTGCAGTTCTTTTCTACGTCTTCGGAAGTTTTGTCTCTATTTAGGCTCAGTGTGATTGAGAAAATAGAGATTCCTCTATGTCAAACTAGGAAAAGAAACAATGGATGCTATAAATTCCTCTTTATGTTATTTCACTACCTGAGCGTCAAAAAACATTTCGACCGCCACATGAATTACCAAAGCTTTAAGTCAGCGGTTCTGTGATTTGATACCAATTCACGTTGTCCGCGGTTTCCCGTCCTATAATTGATAGAACTTCGTGCTTTAATAATAAACTTCACTTTTCACTTTCTACGATTACTTTTTGCTTTTTTATGTGCTATTCTGTGTTCTTGGAAAAGTGCATGACATAGGATAAAATGTCGTCCGTCATCCAGCCTTGGTGTTGTCCGCTTTTAGTAGTTGGTTTAGCAACATGCATGATTTAGTTTTCAGAATTTTTTATATCCACTCATTTTTAATTTGGTTGTTACGCGTTTCAGTTCCACAGATCTGCCTTGATGCCTATATACTACGCTACGCGATGGTGTTCGACAGCCAGAAAGGTGAAAACCGAAACACGACCTTAATGTCACGGGTTCGAGACGGGGCAACCGGTGCCGATAACTTCAACCGGCAAGTCCTTGAGAACGAGTCGTCCAAAGACCTACATCCTGAAACATTTAATCAAACACAATTCACCGAAGACTCTATGGTTAAAAGCGACACAAACCAGCAAAATTCAATAAGAGATGAATCAAATATGGTGAATCCACATATCAGCACTGTATTTGATCTCGATCCCTGTACAGTACATTGCGTGAACACCACAGGAACGATGAAAAAACGCTCTGATTTCCAGCTTCAAAATATCGACGACATCGAATTAAGGAGTACAAACAAACCTATAGAAATGCCTCAAACTTTGATGACAGTTCCGAGAGATAATCAGGTATTCTAGAAGTTGAACTTAACTAACACACAATCTGAGTGTTAAAGTGCCAGATTCTCTCATGTTTAGATATCAAAAACATCATTACCGCCATCGTCAATAAACAATGATGAATCCGAGTTTTCACCCGAGAAAAAAGAATCGAATGAACACGAAATACTATTTCAAAAACGACGTGGAGGTCCTCGTTTTTTCGGAACTACTACCGTCTCCACGACCACCACAACACAACCTACAACAACGACACCGAAAGTTTGTGACGACAAGAACATGGTGTGTTACCTAGCTAAAAAGCATGACACCAGGTAAAGGTTTCGCCCGAGTGAATTTAACAAGTTTACAATTTTTAACTTTTTATTTACTCTTATTTTTCCACGGAAGAGGACTATGTGAAATGAAACCACCGTGATTCTGAGGCAACTGTAAAACTTGGACCCCAGAACAGATTTCATTTTAAGAAGTTTAGTTTTATTCCTTCAGTTATGCTGTTTTTGGGCGATTGCCGGCGAATGTGAGACGAATCCGTTCTGGATGCGAATTCAATGTGCAAAGACATGTGGAACATGCGACTGCTCGTGTGCGCTACTTCTTATGAGCCATTCAATCAAACAATTTAAAAAACAAATAAATAAATACATAAGCAAACATGTAGATAAACCGTTCTAAATTAACAAATTTGGCCCAGTTTCCGAGCAGTGGTATCAAGTTAAATAATTCCTAACCACTCAGCTGTTTGCTTCTTCACGGTCTCTGTCGTCGTAATGTCGTACACTGGTAATGTTGACAGCCTTCTTAAATCATAGTAGTCTCAAACGCCAATCAAGGTCCAAATATGGTTTCCGCTTTTATCTAGCTATCACTCTATAATTACTACACACGAAAACGCTAAATTTTATGAAGTAATTTTTAAGCAAAAACAATAGCGGGGTTTTTCTGAATTTGGTGGAGTTCTTATATTTGATTAATGACATTGAACCATTTACCCACTAGTCTGCACACGTACTCCTTCCTATTTGCGAATTTTCTAGTGTTTCAGTGCGCGAAGCGGATAAATGTACATCAACTGGTATCAACTGCACAATACCGACAACAATCACTCGGTCCACTATCACAACTACGATCATTACCATGTCGCCCAGATTTCAATCATTTCCTTCAACGTTTCATTCTTTTGCATCAGTCACTAAACCTACACTAACAACGGTATTGGTGATATTTAGATAAGCACACTCGAAGCATTTTATCATAAGGATAAAAACTACCTAAATAATGAGTGGTTGTTTAAGAGGAAGCGTCGTCCTCGCCCATTCACGCCGCCATCAAACGGATTTCGACGAACACAAAGCACACCGAAACGAATAACCACACCCACTACAACAACGGTAGTGCCTTTCACAGTGCCTTTGAAAGTATAGAAGAACAGATTTTGGGGTTTAAGACAATACCAGACTGTTTCAAGTAGGCAGTAAAATGACTTTTAATCCAAATTTGAGTCAAGAAATTTCAAAATTGGCGGGACATTTTCAGAACTACGATATTTCTCTTACTACAAGCATAGTTTTCCTAGATGAGCGTCGTAATCCTAGACAGCTTACACATTTTCATCATAACATAATCATCACCATATTCTTCTTCTTCATAAAGACATTTTTTGATGCTCCGACTTTTAAATAGAAATCGGGCAATTCAAAAAAATATGGTCAGGCTATTATTATAACTTTTTAATGGAATTTTAAGATTGTGTGTAGTGAAGTGGTTAGAGGTGCCCTATAGTATACACGTTGTCATTGGTTTGGTCGACCATCCTGAGCTTAACAAGCCTCCCGTCCCTCTAATTTTAGGAATTTGGAGATATGTTTATATATGCATATACTTGCAAAGAGTGGTAAAAATACTAATTTGCTGGACCCCTAAAGTCGTAGTCTAGAAGAAATATGAATTCAAAAACCTCTACGATGCTACGAAAATAAGCGAATGAATGTCTGATTTTAATGGCTATGATTTAGCGCCAAACATTTTATTTTTTTCCTTTACTAATGCGCTAATTGCGCTGCTTTTTAAATAATAATTTTATAATTTTTAAATAATTTTTTATACATTCATGCGAATGTCCTTGAATAACTGCAAATTACTGCAGACCACTACACCAAAACCGACAACCACAACTAGTACGACAACCACAACTTCCACGACCACAACCACCACTACAACACCGGATCCATGCCAGGATCTGAATCAGCACTGCAAATTCTGGGCATCTCTAGGAGAATGCGAAGTGTAAGCTGCCAAAATCAAGTTTTCTTCATTGAGATTTTTTCCCATCATTCATCGTAATGGAACAAATTCCATCATGTGTCATTAGCAGGAGTCGGTGTTTCATAGAATCAAGGATAGCAAAAGGAAAATCAAAAAGCTAAGGCATCCTTCCGTTCTGAAACTCGTTTTTATCCAAGTAATCGTCATGGATTTTTTGTAGTTGAGGTTTTTGTTGCTCTCGTCGAGAGAAGATATGGACTTACATTTCCGTTCTATCTCTTTGGCCTTATGCTTCAATTTTCAATTAATTTAATGAAAATATGGTGGATTAGTCTGTGAGTGATCTTTCTTTTTTCAAATGGCTCTAAGAAGTTTTGGCTTCCTTCTGGCTTGTGGGCGGAGTTTCGCAAACAACTTAGCATTGTTGTGGTTGTATTTCACATAATGCCCTGCTATAAAAAATCAAAGAAACAGTAAACAGAAATTTGAACTTCATGCTGCAAACACTTCACTAGGCACTGTAAATGAAAAAATTGTGCACACAGGAATCCATTCTGGATGCGACCACATTGCCAGCGATCATGTCGTTCTTGTGGTGAAGATGTGAACACAGTTTATGCTCCCACACCTCGAAAAGGTTAGTTGGGTTATCGACGTTTATTGACTAGTTTAATTTCTGCAAAGCTGATCATTTATTTTAAAGCAAGGAAAGAAAATTATGTGCGATATATAGATGTAATAGAGGATACCAAATGACATTTCCAAATTGTTCATTACAACTGAGAGCCTGATTCTTTATTTAAACGCTGTTCGCCACCATTACGGCCCATAACATACATTAGTAAACATATGTAAATATGTATATATATATATATAACTGTATATACGTGTAGTGCAGTGGTTAGAAATGGACTATAATAAAGACATAGTCTTTGAATCGACCTCGTTTCCTAGGTCTCCAGGCCCACTATCCCACCTTTTCTTCCAGATTAGTACTGAATTTATCAGCGGGGATCGATGAACCACTCCTGGTATGCTATCATATAGGCCGATATGCATTCAATCGCTTCTAACGATGCTCAATGAAGCTGAATGCATGGGACATCACTCAGGAATTGATCAGCAACCAACGATTCGGGGAAGACACTTCGGATTCACTTTTACCAGCATTCGGCCATATTCATGACGAAAACAAAGTCCTCAAATCAACCCTCACGCATTGCAAAATCCTTTGTTAATGACCCATGTGAGACGACGAAACGAATGAAAGTGCTGGAATTAGCACAGTAAGTGATATCAGGTCGTATTAAAAAGCAAGTAAATAATTCTTTATAATCAACTCATCTCTGGTATTATCCTTATGACACAATGGTTAGCCTCCTCATTATGTTTAGAGGTGTTTTTGGCTATAAAACTACGTTATACAGCTGATGGGTAGTTCATACTCATAATGTTCTACTCAAATTGAGAAGTATTTCGTCATACCCGATTGGAATCCCAGCTTGAAGGAAACGAATGCCAAGAATCGCCGCTATCTCAGAGGAAATCTCATCGCATGATAGTATGCCAGGCATTTCAGTGTGGGTTTTATAACGAATGGGGGCGAAGTGATGCCAGATTTTTTTTCCAGGATTCATCGAGAAACTTCTGCCATAGAATGCAGAAAATGAATGAAAAATGTGTCGGTTCACAGTGGTGACTACTTGTCCACACGAACATTTATGAACGGAGAACTTTGCATTACCGATTATTGTGAAAAAAAATAATCCATGATTTATTAAATAGTTCGGCCTAAAATGAAATAAAACAAGGGCGCGTGTGGGGCAGTGGTCGGAGGCGCCATGCAATGCATATGGGATAGATTCCAGTGCCCATGGCCCACCAAGTCTTCCATCCCTTCGGGTCGGCAAATTAGTACCAGACTTGTCTGGGAGGATAGCAGCACTAGCTCGATACATCGGTAGACCACCGCTAGTCATTGTAAAAGGCCAGATATGCATTCAATGACCTCCAAACAATGCTTAATAAAGTTCCATGCATGGCGCATCTCTCAAGGATTGACCAACTCCGAGAGCTTAGGGAGCTTTTCAGGCTTGGAAGTCAACGAATTACTCTAAAAAATGTTTAAATTGATTAAGCAAATCATTCAACAAGGTGAAACTATTTGAAAAAACTACCATAGAATTACCTATCATTCCATTATACTTTACTGCAATATTTACTTTAAGCAATACACTCTTTACTCTGAAATCAAGAAAATAATAACGCTTAATCTTTGCAGGGTGCGAAAATAGTCACAAGCTTTGCAATTTTTGGGCAGCAACGGGTGAATGTGACGAGAATCCAAATTATATGGTACCTTACTGTCCACTTTCATGCTTGATCTGTTAAGTTTTGAATCTTGCACGTCGTTTAATTGTTTTGCCAACCTTCTCCTATGAAAATGAGAGTCACTTCTATGCTTTTTCTACTCCATGAAGCCCAGTATCTATATCAAGCTCTCATATCAAACACAACACACACCCACAACACATACACACACACACAGATGTAAACACACACTCGAATACTCATAAACACACGCACATATACACGCTCATTCATACACGTACTAACACGTGCAATTATGTGTATAAGCATTTGCAAATATTTGCAGTAAGAAGGACAACAGTATTATTATAGATACGAAACAGTTCAATCATGTAATTGTCTATCCCTACTGAGAAAATAAATATGCACGCGTGTTCATGCATACATCTGCTTAAATGTATGTTTACAAGTGCGTTTGCACACATATGTACATATATATACTTTAGTATATATGCATATACACGTTTATATATATATATATATATATATATATATATGCGTGAACAATATATCGGATTGCATACCTAAACCACCCTGTTCAAACCTCAGAAAGTTGTACGTGGGCACCAAAAAGCTAAGCACACTGAAAGAAATGGGCCTCATTCCCCTGACTCCGAACGAGCACCAAATACCGCAATACTGCACACAAAAATTCAGATGTGCTTCTAAAATCTTAGGGCTATTATCACCTGTAGTCTCATTGATCGTCGAGTGACTCGAGAGGGCGCCAGTAAATCTTTCACATTTTTCCCTGTAGTGCACAAGAGTAGCCCAGTGGGTTCTGCTCGCTCTAGGAACTCGTTGAGCGGCATATCTTTCTTCTAGGCTTTTCGTGAAAAACTCTGACCATACCAGTGTGAACTAAACAAATACCAGTATCCACAATCGTCCTGGTATCAAAGCCGCATAGTGGCAAATCTTTCTCTGATCTCCAAGGGCTGCCACTCTCTGTGGTTCTGACGACCTGGGAAGACTGGCCGGGCTGACCTCAGCAGCATTGCAGGAAAACACAATGGTTTGCCAGCAAAACTCCGAAGAATGCAGATTGTACTAGGGCTCTCACAGCTAGTGAGTCCGACTATCCGAGCAGGTCTTGAGAAGATACAAGACGTTGCTTGGTTTGTTGGTGAGTAAATCTTTTACTCCCAAGACGGACTTTCTGCCAACATCGGCATTGTTAAATACCTTGCTATTTTCTTGATAAATATACGCATGATTCAATGATGCTGAGATATTTGCAAAACTCCGGACCGCATGTGTATGCGGTGGGGAACGAACGCGCTATTGTCTTAGATGAGAGATAGCGATAGGCGAAACGAAAGACCCGCATGGTATAGTGGTGAACGCGTTACTCCCCGGAACGGACAATAGCGCATCCGTTCCCCACCGCAGACACCTGCGGTTCGGAGTTTTGCAAATATCTCATCTTCATTGAAGTTATATTTTCCAATATACCCTGCCATTAATGAAGAGTAGGCAGTAAATAATAAGTTGAAATTATACGCAAGACTGTTACTGTATATTATTTATTCACAACGGCTCACTTTTTCAGCAGATTTCGCCTTTTTCAGAACAGAGAAAGGTTAAGCCGGATGCGATTTATTCAGGTAAACCACTGAGCACTTCCGAAAGAAAAGCCATGATACCTACTGCTTCTTTACAGGCTTACCGCTTTACGTGACCTTTCTAACGAGTATATACGTAAACATCAACCGTGTAGAGCTCATATAGATGGGCAACGAGCCGCTCTCATGTTAAATATCAGTTGTAAATGTTGTGAAGAACCTGCTTGATAATAGGAAATTTTTTCCTGAGCATCAATTTCGAATTGTTGGAATTTATCCGGAACGCTTCGATAGATTTACATTCTGAAGTATTAGCTTCCTTCGCGAGGGCGGTGAATTCCATTTCGAAATCTTCCCCGTTGAATGTCTGCGTTTTAAGCTGTCCATGTAGAGAATTCTACTCAGCTCCAGTTCTACCTTCTTTGCGTATTTTTGCAAGTAAATATAGTTTTCTACCCATTTCCGCATATACATTTGCATCCGGACGCTTTACAAAGACCAGATAAACCGAACCCGAACCCATGCAATCACCTTCACCACCTTTAGGCCATATTACGCAGTTTTCCGTTGCACATAGGCGGTTAAAGAAGTAGTTACGAACTAACAGGCTTCTTAAAGAGCTTGGTTATATTCCAGTCATAGAAATCGGATTCTTAATATCGGTCCGATAAAGAACGATCGAGTATGGGTGTTTAGTTCAGGTTACTTATAAAGCCCAAATCATGCAATATCATATAAAATTTTTTGCCGAAAGCCGCAGTTCTATGAAGCTTTGCATTATAATTTCTATTGCTTTCGTCCATTTATTCAGACGGCATCTAATTTAATGTACGCAGGAGTGAAACCCATTCTCTCAGCAGTGTTCCAAAGAAGCAGCGTAGCATTCAGGTTTTAACTGTGCTGGGATCCACTACGACTCTTAAACTACAAGAACACTGCTCACTCACGTGCTGAGCACCAACGAAGTGCTGTGACTAGAAAATACTTGCTTCTCTTTTGAATATAAGACGAAAAATGCTTTTGCAATCCAAGCCTTGTGACGAAAGCAGTTCTTCGTCGCAATCAATGCGGCATACAAGGATTAAGGGAAAAACACGAATTGGCAGATGATTTCATTTTTTAATGAAATTATTATTCCAGGGCTTTTTTGGTTTTTCATTATCGACCTTCTTTGATCCATTCACAAGAAGATTTACTTTGTGGGCTTAGAATCAATGTTCACCTTTTCTCGGCTGGCGTTCGGGACCTTCTCACAGATCGTCCTCTGATTGGGTTTCCATTCTGGAAATCAGTAAAGTTAATCACACAAGTAACAAATCTTTGAAATAAACGTGAAGTGACATTGACGTTATGGTAGGACTGTTTCAACGAATTCTGAAATCAAATTGCAACGTATTTTCACACTTTTCAGTGCAGTTTCACACTTCGCTAGTGCTTCATGGGTTGATTTAGCTCTTTCAACTAGTTCCTTCGCCGCATTTATCGTCCGATTCTGCAATAAGTAAAAGAATGTCTGACTAACTCTATAAAGAAAGAAATATGATCGTCGATAGCTTACTGAGATTTCCTGTAATTCCCTTACGTATTCCTGAACACCCTTCTCGCATTCCGACCTAGCTTTCTCTAGTGATAACTCATTGTAATGACTGCAAAAAGAACTGGGACAGTGTGAAAAATGTCGCACAAAGAACGAAAAATTTACAATATTTTTTCTTATGTAGTGCCATGCGCCGCCGAATAATACTTTCCAAGCGACGAAAACACTCGTAGAAGAAGGTGTACTGTAGAAATGGAGCCAGCATTATTAAGGGGAATGGCAAGGTGTTGCTTAAAATAGAACAGGCCTTCGATAGAATTGCTGAAGTCCGTTGCAGTCACGTAGCAATAGAAGACAAGAAGTCTAAGCAAAGTTACTAAACTGCAAAAAGTTTCAGCAACAAATAATAATCGCTAGAAGTTTTCCGCAACTGTTCTCATGCAGCCACGGAGCACACAGACAAAATGTTAGAAGATTTTCGTAGATTATGAATACAAAGAAATGAACCGAATGAAATGTTTGCCAGGGCCTGCACATTAGATGTGTACACGGGTCGTCGGAAATGAAAGAAAAATCACGTGTAATGCAGTTAATAATGAGCTAATAGGAGCTGAATCTTGCAAACTATATGCTTGACGGTCGTTTGTAAGAACTTCTTAGCAATCTGTGAAGAGATTAGAGAGTAAGATCACACGAGCTATGATTTCTTTTAAATCAATGAAATGTCTAAATGCTTCTCAGTTCAGGAACTGATGGTAAACCATTCACACTCTTCACCAACGAAGAACGTTGTCAGCCATGACAAAACAGCAAGTGATTAAGACAGAAATTCCTGCTTTGGAGCAGTTTTAATGAAAAGAAACTCAAGTGAGCCCAGAAAAGTTACGTACGTATTGCACACGGAGATTTCCTTAAGAGAATGCGCGAGGGTGTCATAAAAAAAATCAAGGAATGGGATACGGATTTATTCTAACCTCATTTCCACCAAACGCGTTAGAAGCAACTTTTGGAGTGAGCTGCCTTCAGAAATACTCAAGTGAAGTAACCTCACTTAGTGGCGCTGTGAAAAGAAACTTCCTGAAATAAATATGGTATCGATCCCTGCACGTCAAACCCCTTAAGCCTTCCATCCCTTCAGTTTCAGCAAGTTGGCACCACACTTGTGTGGGAGAATAACAGCACTGACTCGATGTGTCGGCACGGCGCCGCAAGTCATTGTAAAGGTCAGATATGCATTCAATTCCCTCTAACGATGAGTTATGAAGTCGAATGCACAGTGTCGAATAAATCCCACAGGGGTTGATCAATTCCAAAAGCTTTACCATTTATTTTTTTGCCCAATGTGTAAATTTCCACTTCTTGTTTAAGCATTTTCGTAGCACGGATATATATGCATATATACTATATATATACATATATATAAATATATATATTTATATGTATATATAGGTGCCTTGCCAATCACCTATATCACCTGTAGTCACGTTGCCTTCCATTTTTCCTTCTCGCGTACAAGAGTAGCCCAGTAGGTTCTGCTCTCTCTAAGGACTCGTCGAGCATCACATCTTTCTTCAGGGCTCTTTGTGTAGGACTCTGACTATCGGGTCGGTAGTCTTTCTGCAGTACGTTTGACATGCCGAGGAATCCAGTCAATAACGGTATTGTTCATCGGTTGTCATTCATACGCATTACGTGTCTGGCCCACCTTATATTCGACTGTTTCGCGTACAGAACGGCATCTTTGATTTTTAATCGTTGACGCAGGTTGAAGTATCAGATTTCTTTCCTTACTTGTGTGACAAGGGATATTCCTAACATCTTCCTTTCGAGTGCGCGTTCAATTCGAACGCTGAGTGATTTTTCATCCTGCTTACGCAGCGACCAGGTTTCTGACGCGTACGTTAACGCACGAAGTACCGTTGAGTCGAAAAGGTGGTGGAGGAGTCGGGTATTCTTTGCTCCTCACTACTTCCTAGATGCTCTTGAAACTCCCAAACCGCCCAACTTTTTCTACACAACTCTGGAGCTAGGTCGTTCATCATATTGATTTCCCGATCTGGATAGATGAAGCTGGAGCATTCAGAGATATTCGTCCCGTTGAGCGTGAATGGAGCATACTAAACCAATCTGTTTTCCATAAACACCGTTTTAATAAGGTTTAGTCGAAGACCAATCTTTCCACAGGCTTTATCAAAGTCGGCCAGCGTTCGTTCTTCTCGGTTAGTCTTTGGTGTTATAAGGACGATATCATCAGCAAAGTGAAGATGGTGTAACTGCCGACCATCTATTTTCACTCCAATATTATCCATTTCTAATGTTCACATGATGTTTTCGAGGGTGGTGACAAATAATTTTGGTGAGGTGATATCGCCTTGAATAAACCCTCTTCTGAGTTCGATGTTAACAGCATTGTAGAATGGTGATATCTTGGTTGTGAAGTTTTTGTTAGGCTCATAGAGAATTTTTATATACTGAGTAGGGTCTCTTTGATTATCAAAGGTTTCCATGACTGCTTCTATCTCAACTGAGTCAATGGCCTTCTTTAAGTCGACGAAAGTAAGACAGAGCGGTTTTTGTACTCTCGCGATATTCAATGAGTCTCGTTATCGTGTAAATGTGGTCCAGCGTACTAAACTCAATCTTAACTCTTTTATTTACTGCCTTTTTCTTCTTAATGGCAGGGTATGTTGTGAAATATAACTCGTATGAAATGCTGAGATATTTGCAAAACTCCGGACCACAGGTGTATGCAGTGGGGAACGAACACGCGCTGTTGTCCTTACCGGGGAGCAGCGCACTTCACCACTACACCATCCGGGTCCTTCACCTTGCAGGTATCTCAGCTAGTTCTATCGATCTTTTTTGCCATCAGCAATCACCCGCCAACGGGATTGATCTGGGGAGCCAATATCGGCATTGAACCCAGTTAAGCTGAGGCCTCGTTATAATCACAATATTAACTCTTTTATTGGTGAAGTGCGCTGCTACCCGGTAAGGACAACAGCGCGTGCTCCTTCCCCACTGCATACACCTGTGGTCCGGAGTTTTGCAAATATCTCAGCATTTCATACGAGTTATACTTCACAACATACCCTGCCAATAAGAAGAAAAAGGCAGTAAATAAAAGAGTTAAGAATGTGATTATAACGAGGCCTCAGCTTAACTGGGTTCAATGCCGATATTGGTTCCCCAGATCAATCCCGTTGACGGGTGATTGCTGATGGCAAAAAAGATCGATAGAACTAGCTGAGATACATGCAAGGTGAAGGACCCGGATGGTGTAGTGGTGAAGTGCGCTGCTCCCCGGTAAGGACAACAGCGCGTGTTCGTTCCCCACTGCATACACCTGTGGTCCGGAGTTTTGCAAATATCTCAGCATTTCATACGAGTACTAAATTCATTTCCAAACCCTGCTAGCACACATGGCTGCCCTTTGTCGACTGTTCTGTCAATCCTATTTAGGATGACACGAGTGAAAGTTTATAGGCGACAGAGAGCAATGGGCGATAGTTGCTGATATCGTGGAGGTCACCCTTTTTAAACCCTAGCACGGTCTTGCTGGTCTCCCATTGAATAGGGACCTAGCATTACGACAGGTAACGATTGAAGAGCAAAGCCAGTGTGTTTACGAGAACTGGCGGAAGGCTGTTCAGGTGTTCTGATCCTATCCTGTTACGGCCTGGCGCCGTTCGATTTTTCGCCAACGAAATGGCATCTCGGATTTTGGAAGGGAGAAACGGTGGTACAACACATCTGTCCTCTTTTATTTCATATGAGTGGACAGGGCTATCGAAGAGATCCGAGTAGTATTCGTGAATGATTTTCTCTACTGCCTTTCTGGACACTGTAACTGTTCCGTCTGAGCGCCGGAGGGCAATCATTTTGGTGTTGTAATTGGCGAAGCTTCGGTGGGCATTCGTAATGTTTTTCCCAGCCTCTGCAGCTTCGGCCATTACTGCTGCTCTTCTCTCTTTAAGGTCTTCTTTTATCGTCTGTCTGCTTTATTTTGCAAGTTCAGACGTTAGTTTGCGGTTGCCTGCAGCTCGTGCGATTCCATGCTGGCGTATCAGCTCGAGAGTTTCTGGACTGGAGACAGACGTCTCTTGGTGACTTTCGAACTCTCAGCTTGTACTGCGCCAACGTGAAGTTATTGAATGAGCCGATCGTATTCTTCGTCGATGTTATCGACATCGGCATCTTTCCAACCGCCGACTAATGAATTGAATAAGTCCCAGTTTCCGGTGGTTTCGGGACTTCGGTTTTGGAATTTAGCGGTTTTTTCTCCTTTCCGCGAGAAATAGAATCTTGCACGGAGTCCGTGGTCTGATCCCATGTAAAGTTTGGAGACAAGAGCGACTTCGGCTAGGCAAAACCTTCTATTTACTATGATGTGGTCTATTTCGTTATGCTACTCTCCATTAGGAGACTCCCACGTCCAGCGCTGGACGTGGGGTTTCTGGAACTTCGGGTTGCCATGGATTGTCTTGGTCGCCATGATAAACTCAAACAGCCGCTCATTCTGTTCGTTCCATTCTAATCCATGAATCCCAATGTGTCGTTTTTCAGGCGTTCTTCTTGGTCCAATCTCTTCGTTGAAATCTCCAATAATGACCTTGAAGAATGTGTCGTCTTCTCTGTAGAACTTCTCCAAGTCCATATAGAACGTTTCGGCTTCTTCTTCGTCATGGTTTGATGTCGGCGCGTAGACGGCGAAGATTGTCAATGCCGGAATTGATCCACGAGTTTTTATTCGTAAACGTCCGATTTGGGTTGTAAGTTGTTCGAATGAATCGATGTTCATGGGCAAACTGGTGTTTACAAGAACGCCGACTCCGCCGACTCCCATACTGTCGCTTGTTCCGAGGAACAGTTCTTCTCCGGTGTCATATACGTGTTGAATGGGTGGCGTCGTCTTATCTCGGCCAGGCAGATGACGTTATTATTTATCCTTCTTGCTTACATGATCAAGTCTTCTAACGAAGACTCGGGTGCAAGTGTACGTGCATTGTAGGTACAGATCGTCACCGTAATTCTTCGCGATCTAAGAAGCTTCCACTAGCCCTGAGATTTTAGCAACCTCTCCGTGTTCGTCCTAATCAACGCTGCAGAATTGGGGGCTCTTTCAGGGTCAGGGAAATAAGGCTAGTCTCTTATAGTGTTTTTAGCTTTTTGATGCCCACGTATAGCTTGCTGGACTCTGAACGTGGGATCTGGGTATACTCAGGGGTAGCTTGCCAATCTCTTCCGGTGTGGAAATAGGGTTTATTTGTTGGAGACGACTTTTAACCACCTCCCATATGTGTTTCCTTGTCACTTTGTTTCAGTCTTTTTGCCGAATTGATTCGTAGAATACAATCCGCCTAAACTTGAGCGCACACAGGCATGCATGAATACGCCTCCTAAACACAGAGAGTATATGCCAAATTGGCGCAGCTGAAACACGAATCCCAACTCCTAGATCCACCTGGGTCTCGGAAAAACATGCGGTCGCTTTTGGTTCGCGAATAACCCCCTATCCGCCACCTAGAGTCGTGCCACGTAACCACGCGACTAAGTGACTGGAGATCCCTTATATAAGGGACCTCCGTGGAGGGCTATTGTAGGCTGCCGAAATCGCAAGGGATAAGGCGACGGTTTCTACCTACACAGTGCGCTCACTTGTATCTGAGTCCTTGATAGAGGACTTGATAATGCAAGCAAGAAGAATTATTTAGAACTTTATCAAGCTGGCCGAGACGAGAAGACGCCACCCATTCAATGACTTCTATTTCGCCGGACAAGAACTGTTCCACGAGGCATACAGCAGCAGATTCGGTGGAGTCGACGTTTCCTTCAACACGAGTTCGACTTCGACACCCTAATCAGATGTTTACGATTGAAGAGTTCTGGATCAATGCAGTTCTCGACAATCTTCGTGGCTTACCTGCGGAATCAAGCTCGTCTTATGATGAAGAAGAAGTCGAAGCATTCTAAATGAACTTGGAGAAGTCCTGCAGGGAAGAGCGTACATTCTTCAAAGTCATCATTGGAGATTCTCACGTTAAGACTAGACACAAAACAACATATGAAAAACGTACTATGTGGAGCCACGGATTGAAATAGAAAAGGCAAAGTGAGAGGCTGTCCGAGTTTATCATGACGACCAGGACCATACATGGTACCTCGCTATTATTCCAGAAGCACTACCGTCAACTCTGGAAGTGGGAGCATCCTAGAACACCACAACGAAAAAACCACATCATAAGAAATCGAAGCTTTTGCCTAATCGAGGTGCCGTTGGACCAAAATTCTGCACGTAACTAGACCTCCTCAGTGGAAGACTTAATTTCTCGCGTAAAGGAGAGAAAGCCGCTAAATTTTAAAAAAATCAAGTCCCAAATCCGCCCTGAACTGGAATTTATTCAGTTCATTAGTCGGCTATTGGGAAGAAGATGCCGTTGACGATAACATCGACGAAGAATACGACCGGCTCATTCAACATATTCACGATAACGCTATGAAAGCTGAGAGTTCGAAAGCCACCAAGACACGTCTGTTTCCAGACACACTCGAGCTGATACGCCAGCGTGGAATCGCNATGAAAGCTGAGAGTTCGAAAGCCACCAAGACACGTCTGTTTCCAGACACACTCGAGCTGATACGCCAGCGTGGAATCGCACGAACTGCAGGCAACCGGAACTCACGCCCGAACATGCAAAACAATGCAGAGAGGTGATAGAAGAAGATATTAAAAAGGGAAGAGCTGCATTATAGTCGAAGTGCAGAGGCTAAAAAAACATTTTCATACCTCACAGAAACTTCGCCAATCGCAAAACCAAGACGATTGCACTCCGACATCCAGGTGGAACAGCTACAGCTTCCAAAAAGGCAATGGAGAAAACTTTTTACGATTACTACTCAGATCTCTTCAAGAGCAACATCCTTCTGCCCTCATAAAAGTAAAGGAGGATGAATATGTCGTACCCGTTCTAAAATCAGATGTGCTCTTTCGTTGGCGAAAAATCGATCATCACCTGATTTGAACTGAATAAGGTCAAAATACCTGAAGAACTTTCCGCCACTCTCCACAAACATGTCGGCTCGGCTTTTCACACGTTATCTATCAGAATGCGAGGGTAGTACTCACTAGAAAAGCAACAAGTTAGTGAATTGTTCATAAAGGATGATCTTCATGGCATCGGCAACTATCGCCCAATTTGTTTTTTGCCTGCTGCTTATAAGCTTGTCACTCGAGTAATGCTAAACATGACTGACAGAACACTGGGTGGAAGCTACAAGAGCAGGCAGGTTTTCGAAATGGATTCAGTACGATGAACCACATCCACGCGATGTCAAGAATGACCAAAGTATCGCTAGTGTACTAGAGACCACTATGTCATATTTTCGTCGATTTAAAACAGATTAGATTTGATTTGACCCGATTTTAAAGAAGACCTATTTTTGTTACCTAGATCATTTCCGTTGACGGATGATTGCTGATAGCACCGTTAGCGTGAAAAAAAGGCTGAGGAAAGGCAATGAGAGGACTTCAATTGTGCAATAGATTACACGGAAGCCTCCGGAGAGGGATGATCGCGGATTCGGATCTGGAGTGGTGTGTGAGTTTTGTAAATATCTCTGCAACATTGTAGATACTAGAAGCATTTCTTATCAAGCGTGTGAAAAAGCGATGCGAAGCTCCGATCTCCGTCAGTGATCAAAAATGAGAGACGCCGTTCGCAAAGCTGTCTAAGAGAAGGTCGACCAGGCATGTTATGCGTATGAGTGGCAACCGATGAGCGGGAGCCGTTAACCACTGTACGTTTCGGGGTATTCCATTCACTATCACAACTCTCCTAAAGAACCTTTCTTAAAAGTTTTATCGTTTTTTAAAAAACTGGTAGCCAGCATATTATGAAAAGTGGCCTCATTGAGATTTTGTGGTGTTTTAAATTTTCACGCTCCTCGGTTGACATTAAGGACCTTGCAAACTAGTCGTAGGTGTGAAATTTTTAAGAAACCAATTTCGATACCCCAGATTTAAATATGCAGACTCAAGAATATTTTCTACTATACGAATGTGTTATTCCAGTTTACGAGGATTTTTTTATTCCCCTCGCAATATTAAGGCACCCGTGATAGGGTGTTCTAGCGCCGTCTCCCGGCATTGATATTTGCTGAATAGAAATAAATTTCTACAAAAGAGCTATCTGGTAATGCAATGGGTACTTTGCTTCTAATACTTATACTTCTAATCGAACACTTTAAAGAAGTGTGCCATTTTCTTGTTCAGTAATCGCGAGGTTTTTAAACAGCATAAATCGTGACTTCCAATGAGGAAGTTTAGAACAGCTGATTATAGTCGCATATGGTTGACGACTCGTTTGACTCCAACGAAAAAGCGGCTCTGAAGAAGGCGATACTGCCGAAACGTCAGCTAGCGTTGTATTGTATTGTGTTTTTCTATGAAAGTAATTGTATGCTGTTTAAAAACCTCGCGATTACTGAACAAGAAAATGACTCATTCATATTCCAATGCCGAGGTTAATAGAAAGTCGATCCTGGGAACTTAAAAGAAGGTTGTTTAAATTTCCAGAATGGCCGAACGTCAATGTTCGAACGCTGCTTGCTGAATGCTTTGAAATTTGCCTTCCACTGCTTGATTTTTCTAAAATTTTGTAATTTGTTTTGAAAACGGAATGCTTGTTTACACATTATGAATAGCATATTTATACTGGTTAATAAACGAAGACAGTTGTAAATTTTAACAAACTGCTCTCATTCATTAGTTACGGTTCGTGCTGTAACGACATTCACTTTGTTAATCTAGTACTTGCTGTGAGGGTAAGGACTAGGGTAGGAATAAGGGTCAGAAGACTTATCGTAGGAGTAAGGGTATGGGTAAGGGTAGGGGTAAGAGTATGTCTTGTCCGAAGTGTAGTCCCAGTCACACATCTTTCCATTGTAGTCGCTGTACGGGCAACCATATCGTCTCTGCGTGTATTTTGGAACGTAGAAAGGATTTGAAACTAGATGGTCATACGGCGAACGGTGATGACCGCCGTATTTATTATAATATTGGTAGGGAGGATAATATTTGCCTGTAAATTACGTGTGTCTAAATTAAAGCGGTTACATGCTACCGTTAATGATAACTTACGTGAATATGGATTATAGTAGTTTTTGGATGGACCGCTGAACACATCTTGAAATGGTCCGTGTTCTGAGCCAGCGAGAACGTTTGGAACGCTTGAAAGTTTAAGATTATTGTTCATAGGTTAGCAAATCATTTAACATACAAGTTATATGGATATTCCTGAGGTGAATAAGGTGGCGTTGGAGTCGGCTGATACGACTGAGCAAAAACTGCCGCGAACAATGCTATGGCCAAAATCAGTAATTCCATTATTGCAGTCTGCAAAGTGTTTAGTAGTGACGAAATTCGATTCTATAAAGGAAATTTACAAAAATGGCCCAAGAAAGTACAGCTAAGGTAGGAGCAAATGCCGAAACTTACTTGTTTATTCCTTCACGACTTCGGTCCGCTTTTTATACGGATACAAATGCTATCAAATATTTAATTAATGAGACATCATCAAAACATTTTGTCATCGTAGACTAAACATTTTCAGCGATAAAATAACACTGCCTTTCCACCCATCAACGGATGTCAACACAGTAATTGACTACTAAACACAGTGATTGTGCAAAAACTGCCCAGTTGCTCAACAAAACGAAAAAAGAGTTATCGCCCATGTATTACTCTGTGCGGCTGCTATCCGTCAACTATCTTAAATACTTACAACAAATAAACGGCTCTGAAGAAGGCAAAACCGCCGAAACGTCAGCTATTGTATCCTAATAAATCCTATAATAACAACCTCGTGTCTGCTTATTGAAGAAAAACATCTAAAATGAAAAAAAGCGTGTATCTTATATTAGAAACTTCTTCTCTATTTCCCATGGACTCGCTAATGTCTGTGCTCTTAGGATACTTTAAGTTTCGCTGACATATAATCAGGTTAAAGGTGTTTACGAAATATTCTGGGAAACCAACTATTATATTGTCAAGTTTTTATTTACTTTCTGCTATTATTCCTCACAGCAAAGTACGATGTGAAATACAACTACTATGATGCAAAGGCATTTGCCAAACTTCGACCACAGACCGGATTCGAACCCGTGATTACCTTTTCCAGTGCTCACGCGTCACCTACTGAACTGCAGAAACCCTTGCTTTGCCTTTCTCTCAGCCATTTTTCTACCTAACGTACCATCAGCATTCAACCGTCAACGGGAATGATCTGCGGATCATAAATCGGCATTGAACCCAGTTAAGCTAACTAAGTTAAGTTAACTATTGCATTGTTTTCCGTGATCTGCCGTGTGGAGTGATGTTAGTTTTTCGACTGTAAAACCGATTGTACCTCAAGCTGATATTTTAACGTGAGACGGGCTCATTACGCGTCCATATGCTTCTTTACTCCTCACCTCCACGTTGAATAATCAGCACAAAGTTCAGAGAAGGCAATGATTGTGTTAAGAAGCTGTTTTATTTTCAAGAAAATTAAAATTTAAAATTGGTGCGCTTTTATGTTGAGGTTATGGAAAAGTTCAGCTGATCAGGTTGCTGTTAGCTCACTCTTTCTGGGCTCTGCAAAAGTCTAAGTCGTAATGTGTGCTGTTATGAATAAAGACTATAATAATAATCCACGTGTGTCGTCACGAAAACAGCGAAAGGTTTCTCATTAGAATTACCTGGTTTGAGATCGATTGACTGTTGAAAATGGCTGTTTAGGAAGTCGTTCTACAACACAAGCGATGAGTAATCACACTTAGTCTTCATAATATTTCTGCCATGACATTTCGATGTTCCAAAAAAATGCCCCGATGTGATGAAAAATTTTGGTGGAGATTTTCAAATTATGAACGCATTTCAAAACATTTATGCTTGGAAAGAAATGCCTGTTGTCCTAAGTAGTTCTCGAAGCATG